ATATAAAGACTTGAGCAGTGCATAAAAACATTTTTTCTATTCACTGTTAATTGTCCCAGCATTGATATTTCATTGTCCCCACAGTATGCAAATTTGACTGATTTTGAGAAAGATTTAGGTCTATGGAGTCCACTGCTCACTGACATGTTTGACTGGGAAAGGCATAGCGCTACAACTCAAAATACCAGTCTTTCAAGAGGTGAGTGACTGCAAAATGGGGCAACTATTCATTACCTTTTCATTTCCTCAACCACCTAAAATTTAAAGCTAAAGCTGAAAACCACCCCACCCCCCAGGGCAAGCAACAAATTAATTTTGTATGACATTCCGAGAACATAACCTTCACCAAGGCTAAATGCACTGTAACTTTATTCAGGTGGCCATTACTTGTACATCAAATCTAACAAAGTAACACGTCGAGATGCAGCTCTTCTCATCAGCCCAGAGTGTGTAGAGTCTGGTCCACAGTGTCTGCAGTTTTGGTACCATGTGCCTGGTTCTCCTGGAATGGCAGACATCATTGTATACGTTCTTCAAGACAAGAAGGCATATGTAATATGGAAAAGCAAAAATGTTCAAAGAAACACGTGGCAACATACTCGAGTAGACCTTGTAACAACTGGAGAGTTCCTGATAAAGTAATACTTTTATTTATTATTCAAAATGGACGATTCTGCAAATGAACAATGGTGTAATTCTGCCGTTTAAGGTAATATTTGAAGGAGAAAAAGGATTTGGAAAGCAAAATGAAGTGGCTATAGATGACATTTCACTCAGTCATGGCTTATGCAAAAGTAAATGGACCTTTTCTATGCAAAAAAAAATCTAAAAAAAAATATGAAATTAACTCTTATTACACATGTTGCAGACATCATCAGAGAACCAAATCAAACTCCTGTTACAAGTTATATACTGCCAGATTTTGGTTATCTCCTAAATGCTACTTCAAATGGACTGGAAAATGAGACACAACCCACTGTAACCAGTGGATTGCAGGGTTCAACGGTCAGTGTATCTCTTGGTCATTGGATTTTCATTTTAGAAGTGGGTATTAAAAAACAAGAAGCGAGTGGTTATTTGATTTTTTTTTAATACTGAAATTAAAATTAAAATACAAAGCTTTTTTCATTCTTAGTGTCAAAAAAGGATTAACGAAACTTTAAAAATGATTTGAGTTTCATTTTCTGTTTCAGATAGCAAAAAAGAAAATTAATTTAAGACAGAAATGAAAAAAAGGCTTGTTTGTTTGTATTCTACCGCTGTCTATTCCACCACCAGAAGCGACGCTCGCCTGGCAGCTCTGCATAATGAAACACTAGTTTCTGTGAATAAAAAAAAGGCTGAAACAAAGAGACGTATGTCCATAAATGAGTTATATGATGACTGTCGCTCTGTGACCAAAGGCCTTGCAGAAGTACTTTGTGTGGCTTTTGGCCAAATAAGTTTCTTTTACTGAATACATGTCGGCTACTGCCTCCACTTCACCTCTATTTCTCTCAATAAAAAGCAAAACAAGACAAATTTCATTCCATTTCTGTGTTGTATGATTGTTGTTCTGTGAGCAGAATGTTTTTCCCCTCCTGAGTTTTGACAAAATCTGTGCCTTTTCTGTCAGTTCGTGTCCTCGAAGTGTTCCTTTAAGTGAGGGGTGGGCGGTACTATGACCTTGATCTCGATCTGATACCAAATAAATACGTGGCAAATATATTTGATACCAGTCAACATCTATGTTGACTTTGTTTTTGTTGCAGCAGATAGGTGTCTTACAATGCTCGGAAAGGAGCGTCAAAAGATTTTGTGCTCAGCATGATCTGAGGAGAAAAAGATCTGTGTCAGACGCAGAACTGGAAAGCACTTTGATTTAGTCTATATATGAGGTAACCATCTATATCTATGTAATGGAATATTCATTAAATAACTTTGATATTGCAGGCACCCCTTCAGGTGAAAAACAGTTTATTGTAGGGATACAGCAAGTTGCCACTATCTGTCATGGAATATGAACAAACGAGGCTTTTTTCATTTCTGTTTTAAAGTAATTTTCTTTTTTGCTATCTGAAACAGAAAATGAAACTCAAACATTTTAAATATTTTGTTCATCCGTTTTTGACACAAAGAATGAAAAAACGCTTTGCATTTTAATTTTAATTTCTATATTTTAAAACAAAAATCAAAMAGCCACTTGTTTCTTGTTTTTTAATACCCGTTTCAAAAATGAAAATCCAACGACCAAAAGATACACTGACCTTCAACCACAACTCATCCTACTGGGAATGAAAATTGGCCAGTGCTTCCAACCACCACAGGCCAGCCACAAATCCTCCAGGGAAATGCAACCAGTCACCTGCAGGGTTCAACCACCCTTGCTTCCAACCACCACTGGTCATCCTACATTCTGTTAATGTAACTTGGCCACAGCTTCCATCAATCACACGCAAATCACACACCCCCCATGTTAATGCAACAAATGGCCTTCAGGGTTCAACTACAGCTAGACAAGCTTTTACTAATGAGACTTTCCCATTGCTTGCATCAATGTCAGATCAACAACAAATACTTCAAGGTAATACACTTTATAATTGTCAGGATTATACTGCTCAGCCAGCATTTAGTAATAAACTTTGCTTCTGCCTCTTTAACTACAGGTCAACAAATTATTCATGGCAATGAAACTATTGGCCTGCAGGTTTTGACCTCTGCTAAGTTTTATGTCAATGAATCTGTGCCCCAAAATTACAATAGGACGTTGGCCATTGTTGCGTTTCTCAACTTCATTTACAACTTTACAGTAACAAGGAATGGTCAAGGTAAGTTTAGTTTTATTTTACGTCCTGTATTGTCCTAATTAACTAAATCTTGACCTTTTTTTAGCACCTGCCTGTGCCAAGAACAACCATTTCACCACCTGCATCCCCTCATGCCTTCCAACATGTAGACACTAAAATGGCCCAGCACAATGCAGTGTCAACAACTGCACTGCAGGATGTGTGTGTGACAGTGGCTTTGTGCAGAAAGGGATTGTTTGTGTGCCTGTGCAAGAATGTGGGTGTGTGGCAAATGGCATCACTTCTCAAGTGAGTGGCTTAAGATTTTCTAAATGTTCATTAGCAAAACATAAATCAAATGTGTTTTAAATAGAACTTCTCTTCTAGTTCACATTGCAGTCAGAAGTGTGAATGTGAGGACAATGGTGGCAAGCGAACACTCCAGTGTCATGATGATGGATGTGATGATGGTGCTGTGTGCCTTCAGGACCAGATGGGCCAGTTTTATTGTACAGCTACAGGTAGTGTGTGTGTGTGTGTGTGTACTCCTTATCTTAAAGTTTTAGTACTGGCTTATGTCAAATTTTCAATTTGTTTCACAGACTTCAGTGAGTGCACCGTTAAAGGAGATCCAGAGTATAAAACATTTGACAAAATGAAGCATGACTTTGAGGGGGAACTCCTTTATATGTTGGTCCGGACCAAAAACCTGCCAAGTACCCTCCCAGAATTTTACATAGAGGGCAGCAATGTATGCAACACAGAAAACAACAAAGGCACTAAAGTGAAAGGAAACAGTCAAGACATTGGCAATGAAGATGAACAGACGAGATCCAAGGAGCTTAAAATCAAAGTGTACAATGTCACTGTGGAGCTCAAGCAGAAAAATGAGGTGTTTGAATCAGTGTTAATATATGCAATACGTACAGTGTCCAAATTGTTAGCTTTTTTAAAGATTACAATTAGCAGTCATCTTTCTAATTAAACTAAACTTTGTGGGTCCAAGCACTTTCATATTTGTACAAAAAAATAAGGTTAATGGTCTTTTTTGAGACTCGAAATCTTTACATAAGCAAGAACTGGCGTGTGAGACTTTTCCTGCATGTATTATCTGTGATTTGTTTTACTACAGGTGAATGGACAACAGATGGAAACTTCAATCTCAAAATCCAAGAGCAATCTTCTCGTGTGATCTTGAAAACAGACTTTGGTCTGAAAGTTTAGTGAACCTTGCAAAACAGGTTATCTAAAGTTATTTAATCTAATCAATTTTTTTTGCAGCAACATTGACTCCCCCGCCTCAATTTGCAGAAATCATACTCCCCAACTTGTATAAAAGAAGAGTAGAGGGCTTGTGTGGGAACTTTGACGGCCATGAAGGAAATGACAAGATTAAAGCAGATGGCACTATGGCAAAGAGTATTCAAGAGTTTGGAGGAAGCTGGAGTTTAATACAACATGTCAATGGTATCTTTCTGACATTGAATCATTCACACCCCACCCCCACTTTTTACCAATAGCCACATTCTGATTTCACCATTGTATTCATGGGGTGGGGGTGGGGGGGGGTGGTGTATGTTTTAACTTTTAGAAACTGCTGTCAGACAGTTTTAAAGGCTTGTCTAGGTGTGGGGGAATCAAATGTGGCTGGACACTCATGACCCCAGATATGGTTTACATATGTAAACTTTGCTAATAACTCTAAACATGGGAATAATATAAACCTAATAATTGTATTTATGATTTTTTTTTTAAATCGCAGTAATCATGTTAAATACTACATTGGCATTTTTTTGCATTTAAATTGAAATCTGGGGACCCTCACTTGATTTGTGAGCCACAAAGGGATCCCGGACCCCAACTTTGGGAACCATTGTTCTAGAGAATTCATTCATGGTGTGCTGGACAAGAGGCACTTAAAAATTTGCAGTGGCGTAGTTGAATTTAAAATCAAAATTCAGCACAAACAAGCATGCCAATTTTTTTTCTTTGCATGTCTTTCTGGTGTGACAGTGGCATTCCAAGTGTCAGGGTTTATTTTTTTCCTCACTGTACCAAAAAAAAAAAACAAAAAAAAAAAACCTGCAGCTTGTTTTGTGGCGGGAGCTGTGTGATAATTACAAACTTAAATTCAAAAACACTGTTTCAGAAAAATAAGATTGATTATAATAACTCCACTTTAATAAAAGTTACCGTAAGGCACGCAGACCCGCTTACAGATGAGGCTTGAGACGRTTTCACAATTCCATAAGTTTGTTTATTATATCCTGATTTTAATTCAAAAATACTAGATTAAAACCTCACATTAAAAATCAGTCTGGCTCAACTCAGGGAGAAGTGAAATTCAGGGTAGTGTCCTAAAGAAAAGAGAAACCCAGCAAACGGAACAAAGCAAACAAAAGAAAATCGTGCACCAAACCAATTAGGAGTCCCACCACCCGGAAAGTCCACCACCAACACCACGAGCTGGCCGTTCCTGTAAAAATAAAAGGCACTTTAATAAAATTACAAACAATAAAATACCAATCAGTCTACAATAAATCAAGCAGTAATAGTCCAAATTCAGAAAGTCAGTCCTGGAAGCAACCGATCCGTCGTAATAGACACCACTCAGGGCAGCACCAGAAGGGTAGTCGGAGCTGATCACCAATCAGCCACACTGGACAGTGATAGGAGCCAGCTTTACGCCGACCAGGACGGCGAGCCCCAAAGCCAGCACACAGGACGACAGGTAAGTGGCCGACAGATTATCCAGCTGGCAGACGGACCACCAGTCGGGGGCAACCAGAACAGCAGGCAGACAGCCAGCCAAGGACAGACAGTCAGCCCAGGACAAACAGCAGCGGCTATCAAAAATAAATGTTAGAAATAGAATCTAAAACTCATGCAAAAACTAGCAGTTCACTCACCACTTGAGCTTCTTTAAGTAGTGCCTCTAACAGTGAAGGAGGAACTGGGAGCGTGTGCAGGCAGCCTGGATATGTAACAAAAGCTAAGCTAAAGCTAAGCTAACAAARGTCYAGTGTGGGAAGATTCTTACCAGAAGGACGATTGATCGGCGATCAGCGCGTCATTAAGCGCATTGTTCACGCGCGCATTACTTTGCAGCTGTTATACAGAAAATGTAAATAAATGACAAGTAACAAGCTTGATTGAGAGAGATGATGCCTGCCTTACCTAGCATGCGGCACCAATACAAGCCGCGGTCTGAACCGGAAGGAGAACAACGTGATGTCAACCAGGGGAGGGAGGGCCCTTTATAAACAGGCACCAGCGCCACGACCAATCAGATGCAGGCACTTGTGTGGTGCGTTCAGAGCCTACAGGGCATACTGCCACGTTTGAAATAWGATGTTTTTACGTAGATATACTGTATGTAGCCAGCTTTTACTAGGAAATCCAAGACTTGATGTTTCAATGACCTCTTGAAACATTCAAATTCAGACTACTAGAGCTCACATTTACCATTTTAAACTGTAAATTTGAATCCTGACAACTGTCTTAACACGACATCAACCCAAATGCACTTTTGTCTCTAAAGTTGTCAGTTGCATCAGTTTTTACAATAAACATTTCTCATATCTAAAGTTTGCAATACTCTTTAAAACTTGTACTAAGTAGTCTAATAGTTTTTCATCAGTGAAGTTTAAAAACAAGTTCCCACATTTTTTTTTCTGTCTCAACATTCTAGCTGATATTTAAACACTATAATGTAAATCAATGATGCAGAAAAAAATCTGTTCTGAATATTATGATTAGGGTGAGTGGGCATGGATAAAGAACCCATATAAACGAAGGCCTTGTAAGTGGGCCCATTGCGCTCTGCAAAAAGACAGCTTTATTCAAATCTTCTTGTCCCTCAAATGAAGGACACAAGGTTAGAAATACTTTGTTCTGAGATGATAAATGTGTTTCCAAGAATTGTTTTCCTTTGACTGCTCAGAGTGAGGCAGTGGTATAAGTAGTGCAAAGTGTTCTCTATTTCAATCACACAGACCATTGTCACGGAGTTCTAATATTTCAACGTTTTTTTTTTATTTTATCAGAATATCTGTCAGACAAATGATGGCACCATAGGATCATTTTTGAACAAGAAAACTACAGGAGACAGTTTAGGACAAACTAGACAAGTTTACAAATTAAACCAAACTTGAGTGATCTCAGTAAGAAATGATCTCAATTTTACTTTATCACCAGATTTTATACTTGATAATTAAACTTCTGCCAGTAACTATTTCTATTTTGAGCAGTTTCCAAACATGTCCTCACCTAAATAATTGTCATATGTTGACACATGGCAGACTAAACAAAAAAAAAAACAAACAAAAAAACAAAAAAACAAAAAAAAAAAACCAATAAATCATGTAAAAACAGTTCAAGCTGCTAGTTGTAGCACATTTTTATTTTGGTACAATAAACATTTTTTAGCTGTTTTACAGGGTTACAGTTCAATGACTGCAAATGTGTTTTGAAACATTTATATGAAAAAGTGGATTCTCTATAGCACTCCCAAATTCACAATATTTTTAAACATTTTAAAATGAGCAAACTTTTGTTGCATAAATCCTCAACACATCCTGTGATGTTAAAATTATACAGATATTATATGTGTGTGTTTAAAGACCATCAAACCCATCAGAGCTTTGCAAAATTATTTGTCCACACAATGAAACAGTGTTAGAACTTTCTGAATTAGCATCAAAACTTATATTAATATTAATGTGAACTATTCAGTATAGTAATTCTGAAAATAGAACTTACTTACAATATTAATTTTGAAAGTCTGATGCCACTGAATTAGACAATGTATTTTTATAAAGGGCTGTCATTTTAATTTTTATTCTATAGATGGCGCCATAGGATTACAGATGAACAGGAGAAACACAAACTGCTCATTTCGTTAGTCCAGTGCAGAAGACTTTTTATAAGACCAACATTTGTATCCATGTAACTCTTTTTTGTTATAAAGTTAATGACTTTACAATCTGTATATCAGTTTGTATGTGAATCTTTGTTTCATAATTAGCTTGTTTGTTAGTATTTGTCTAATTTGTATTAAATCAGAACATAGCTATGGAAAACTTATGATTTTATTTTGTTCACCTTTATTTAGCAACAATAGTAACTATTAAATTTGTTTTAATAATAAAAAATGATGATTTGATCTAACACTCTAAATGACAAAGAAAAAACAAACTCTTAATTTCCTTTCATTGTTTCAGTCAGTACTGTGAATTATTAATATACCTAAAATAACTCATAACATACTCATATGAAATGGTGTTACATACTCTGTGGAGAGCTATTTGGAAGAGTCTGGACATCCTTGTTCTATTCATTTCAATTCCTTCCTCATTATATTTTATTCCATCAAGTTCAGGACTTCCACTTTAACTTTCCAAACTTTGTTCTTTCTCACTCCTTTTGGGCAGAAAAACAGCGAGAAACAAAAATGCTGCTGTCATGTTGTGTAATTGACGTTCTCCTTTGTTTCAGTTCAAAGACAGATATCCTGTCTTTTCTTTGCAGAATGAAATGTTTCAGGTTTCATTGTTCTACCATTGATGACAAACTGTGCTCAGCCCAATGAGCTCAAATACGCACATTACACATGAAGTAAGTGTTTTTTTCCCACTTCATTTATTGAACAAAAAGCTCTATTTTGGTTCTGTTAGAAAAGAAAACCCCCTAAAATCTCTTTGGCTTTTGCTTTTGATTGTTATCAAGATGAAAAAAAAAAAAAAACATAGGCAGTGAGGTTTTCTATGAAGAAAGTGTTTATCTTGTTGGAACCCTGAGATAAAATCTGATGTTTTTTTGTTGTTGTTGTTGTTGTTTTCCCGAGTGTAAAAGCTGAACTTATCATCATTTCTTTAGAGATGTCTCTGACTGTTTGACCACCTGTAACTTATCTTGATCTCTGGAGACCCTTTTCTTTTCTTTTCTTTTCTTTTCTTTTCTTTTCTTTTCTTTTCTTTTCTTTTCTTTTCTTTTTTTATTGATACAAAATCTGATCTGGCGTTAAACTCTAGTTTTGTACAACAGCATGTTAAAGCTTGGTTAGATCAGTCAATAACGCAAGTTAATGATTATTCCCTAATTTTTATTCTATTTACTTAAAARAGCAGATTTTACTCTAAAATAATGATTCAAATTCTGAGTAGTTTTGTTGCATTTAAATAAAAAAACATTTTGCTTCAAAAATAAAATGTACATTTCAGCAGGAAATGTTCATGCACCACTGAGGTGTTAAATAACGTGATTTAAATACATTTTGTACTAAACAAAGCTGATTTTCTGGAAACAATTAAAAAATGGGGGAAGGGGAAAGTAATGTTTTAGTTATAGCCCACAGTGTTCTGTTGGCAAATTATCTCATGAACCACTGAACAGATATAAATACAACTTTCAGAAAGCATTTATTGTATATCCGTTAACAACTGATTAATTTTTTGGCTCAATCGATTTCAAGATGGCTGCTGCAGCCAACAGGCCTAAAAGGGAGGGTATTAGGAATTTTTCAGGCACATAGTTCAATTCTTTAACACAGTCATGCTACTTTCAMTTGTTAAAACTGAATTTGCATCATAGCCTATCTCAGTGGTTCCCAAACCTTTTATCTTCTGACACAAAAGATATTCACGGCAAAAACTTGTGACCCCAAATATTACTGGTCTGAGTACACAAACTGTGTTAATAATCCTAAAAACAAAGGCTACACAAATATAAATACTTATTTATACTTATTTTGTGTTTTTGTAATAATTATAGGGAAAATATTACATCACCAATTATTTTATTACCCTTTAAATTGATTTCTGAAGTGCAGTGGTTTCCAAACTTTTTTAGCTTTTGACCCACAAAATAACAGTAGCAGAGACCCCGGGACGTGCACAGGTAGACATCAGGTGGTGTTTGAGCACCTGCACTTTTCCCTCCAGACCAGCTGTGGGCAATCATGGTCCTCGAGGGCCGCAGCCCTACATGTTTTACATTTTTCCCTGCTCCAACACACCTGATTCAGTC